AGGGTTTAGGGTTTAGGGTGTTAATGGATTCACCAATTATATTAGTTAATCTGTTCATATGTTAGAGAACTAGTGAGACAACTACTGAATTAGCTGATTAATCAAAGAGATAGCTGATTAACTGAAATGGGGACATTTAAGGATTTGTCTGTCCCAGCTGTTGCACGTTAAGCCTGGGTCCCCGGGGTTTGTCTCGGGTTCGCGCTCAGATCTTCAGATTAAAATCCTCGAACGGCTCGGCAGGCAGTTTTGGGAGGCTATTTACGTCCAAGCTCTTGGGTCATGTGCTGCTTATGAGGCCCGAGGGGGCATACAGGCTTGATGGGGAGGAATCGCAGCGTACTTCTTACGACTTTCTGGTTCCTGCGGCGGCTCTTCTCTGCTGCCCTCCTGCTGCTTCTTTGCTTCTTTTCATGGTGTTGGTGCCTCGTCAACAGACAGGTCGTAGCGGTAGCCAGAGTCGAGCACCTGACTGAGATTCTACACTGCTCTTCATCTCAGCCAAGAGGGTTGTTTCATCTACGATGGTCCGACACTGAGCATTTGAGCTGACGTGTCTCAACACTGCCTGACGGAACCCTGCTAGCAATACTTTATCCCATTCCACACACATCGTTCTATCACCCGACACGACCCTGAAACTGGGTGCCCGCCCAGGCACACCGTAGGCAAAGGTCGAACCAGAGCCCACCTGGGAGTTTTGCTGTCGGCCGGAGCGATCATGACAGGCACCAGGGACCCTCCGGCAAGGGCTTAACATCCAAAACAAAGCAAAAGGACGTCTGACAGGCACCGGGGACACCGGCGGCAGGGTTTAAGATCCAAAACAAAGCACTCAAGCCCTTAGGTCACACCGGTTTGAGGGTTGAGAGTTTAGGCGAACGTGGCAATCTTAGCCACCAGCCCCAAAGTACCTCGACCCAAAAACTCGCGGCCGAGAGGCTGAGAAAACATTGCCCTTGTGGCGGTCTCCCTGGTCATCCACCATGTACAGCGAAGGGCCCTGCCCGAAGTCGACCAGTGGGAAGCTCCAGCTTCAGGCTTCGGGGGCGAAGGCCTTCTACTCGCAGCCTTTTGTTTGCTTCTTGAAGATATTCCTTGAACTGAAGCATAAGCATTCAAATCCGGGAACCTTAAAAGGATAGCCTTCGCAATCATCCAGGCTTTTTTGTATTCGCCCCGAGGTTGGAGGGTGACATGTTACCTCCACGGCCACTATAGATACCCCTAAACCCCCTAAACGCCTAAAGCCCGAATCGCTAAAACGCCAAACCTCTGCAGCCTCAACCCCTCCCCAAACCCGAAAGCCCCCAAATTCCTGCCTTCTTGTCCCATCCGGCGACCATGGTTCCGCAAGACAGGCCCTGGCCTCGGTACCTCCGAAAGCTTTGGGGTCTGAGGGTTTAGGGTTCAGGGATGAGGCTTGAGGGTTTGGGGCTCATAGGGTTTAGGGTTGAGGGTTCAGGGATTGGGGCCCATAGGGTTTAGGGTTGAGGGTTCAGGGTTTAGGGTTGAGGGTTGAGGGTTTTGGGTTTTGGGATTAGGGTTAGGGATTGGGGTTTTGGGATGACGATTTGGGGGCCTTATAGGGTTTTAGGGGGCCAAATGCAGGGGCTCCGGGGGGCCTGGGGGTTTCGGGATTTGGGCTTTAGGGCTCAGGCTTCTGCTGAGGGCAAACCGGCGCTTTCTTGGGGGGTTTTGGGGTTTTGGGTTTAACGGCGTGAGTTTTGGGCTAAGGGGTTGAGGGGGTTAGGACTTACAATTTTTTGTTTCAGCGGTGTGGGTTTAGGGGTTTAGTGTGCAGGGGTCGAGGGTTTAGGAATTGAAATCCTCAGAGTTCTTGATGCAAGGGAAATCTTGTGTTGTTCTCGAACAGCCAGAACCTCGGGTCCACACGCCCCATGCGCTCTCAGACACGGGGGGCACTGCCAGAAGATATTTGCCAACAGCTTGGAAGCTGCAGCCACGGAGATTCGCTCCTGCCAAGAAACTGAACATGACACTGAATGGTACTCCGGAGGCTATGCCCGAATAGAAAGAACCCTAAGCCCGAAACACAAACCACACACAAAGCCTTAGTAAAGCCCGCAAGCCATGACCCCAGAGCTGACAGCCCTCAAAATCCTAAAACCGCCCTACTCCCCAACAGCTTGAACATAAACGGTTACTGATTATTCAGGCCTCTAATTGACCTCTACCTTACCAGTAAGGCCCAGTTCCGAGGAAACCCCAAATCCACACCATCTGACAATCTGTTGATGAGGCATGCTATCGCATGGTAGAGTATTCCATATTATGCTCGATCAGGTACTAGAGTATACTACGCTAGACTATAATAGGTTCTGCTGTACTACTACTAGTCTCATGGTATATGGTATTTTGCTGTAATATAGCCTGGTGCGGTACAGCCTGTTACATGACATTGTCAGATACCACCAATTGCTTTTCTCCGACTGCACTTTATCATGTTATACCCGTGTAGCCGAATGTCTCATGCCGCACCGTATGAGGTCGTGTGACGTCAAGCTGTAGTATATGATATCACATATCATATCATTGTCATATCATATCATGTCACAGTATACTATGCGACCATGATGCAGTTTCTCATAATGATGTCTGAACCCTAAACCCCAAAACCCTAAATGACCCCAAAAACCTAAACCTTAAACCCCAAACCCCTAAACCCCTAAACCCCCAAACCGCCGACCCTGCGCTTTCACTGCCAGGAAGGCCTTCTCTCGAAGCTCGTGCATGCGGCAGAGGCGATTGAGGTGACGTTCCCAGAACCTCCGATAGGGTTTAGGGCTTAGGGTATATTGAGGTTTGCTTAGTGTGTGGTGTGCGTTTGTTTGAGTCTTGCTCTTGAACTTTTTTTAATGTTCTTGGCTGTCTTTCCTTTGTGTGAATTGCTTTTTGTTTTCGAGTTGCTCTGTTGGGGGGGGCGGCCTGGGCCGGGGAGCCTGGCCTTGGGGGGTCGGGCAGGGGGTGCTTGGGCCTGAAACTCTTGTGGGTTTGCGGGTTTCTGGGGAGGGGGGTGTTTGGGCTTGGGTTGGAGTTGGGGGGTGAGGAATGCGTGTTCACGTCACAGACGGTTTTGGGATTGGGATGTTTGGTTCAATTTACTCAAGCAGTGTTGCGATCTCCCGCATGTGGGGTGTGTGTGTGTGTGTCTGT